CCCAAGGAGTTACATCTTAGAGCTAATGACTAATGAGCACATGACTGATACAAGTGTGTGGGATTTGTGGAGATTGTAGTTGGGTGCCGGTTCAGTGCTCTAGAGGTTAGGATCTCACACGCAAGACCTGACGTCCTAGTATCAAACACAACGTGCAAGGTTGTGATTTCACATTATTGAGGAGTCTGACACTAGGAAGAAACGGCCCCTCAGATTCCGAATGTTAGTCCAGCTAAGATTATTTAGTGATCAAAAATCTATAAAAGTTGGATGTAGTTTGCTCAAATTAACTATTGGAAACAATCTTCTTCTTTAATACTACGTCCTTTGTTAAGTTTTCGCTTCCCGACTACTGTTTTGTCTATTTGATTACCACGGTCACAGATAAAGGAACTTCTTAGTAACCCCATTTGTTATAGCCGCTCACTTATCACGTCTTCTTTAAAATCCACCGTAAATCAATCGTACGTGAGCATCAGGTACTAAAATTGGCGCCGTGACCTTTAAATCCCTATAAGGCTTCTGATTGGCTCGTTCATAAATTAACATCTCACCCCATATGCTTTGAATCGAAACTATTTTGAAATTTTCTGTTCAAATTTAAGCCAAAGATCACATGAAATTATCTTCTTTCCTACGAAATAAACTTTAGGAATCATTTAACATTACTGACACTATGAATTTAATTATCTAGAAGTTTTCTTTCCTGTCGAATTTTAATTAAATCAATATTTCATGTTGTATACCACTAAAAAACTGTATTAGAACATCCATTTCTTCCTTCTTATCTACAGAATGTGGCAGAACGAGAAACAGGTCAATTAAAACGTACTTCTTTGCGTGACAATTCCATTTATACAAGAAACAACAATAACAGTGTTACCAATAATAACACTAACACTAGTGAATCATTTAATTCAAGTCAAAAATCAACAAAGAAACGAAGATTATTTAGTATACAACAACAATATGGATCACATAGGTCTGATGATACACATGAAAATATATCCCACAATTATGACAATCATCCTCAACATCATCGCCAACAACAACGCTTAGAACAACAATTATCTGATGATACTACGACATCAGATTACAATGCTAGTACAACTAGTAATATTGGAACTGGGCATCGTTCTAGTACAAAAAATTGTATACAAAAGTGTGATTACCATGAAAATATACAACAAAATCCAAATGAATTGATACGTGTTACACGAGAATTAAAGAAAAAACGTTTACGTTCTAAAGCAACTAAACTGGTTGTATTAGTCACTACATTATGGGGTGTATGTTGGCTACCAACACATATAATTAATTCATGGTTCTTTTTTGATGAAGCTAGTTTTCCATTTGTACCAGCAATGAAAATAGCAAAACTATTATCACAAACATTATCATTTGCTGCATCATGTGTAAATCCTGTTGTGTATAGTATATTGACTGGATCATTTAAAACAGCTTTGTCAAATCGTTTACTACGTTTTAGAAAGCGTAATAAACGAAATGATCATACAAAAACTGAAATATTATATATTACTGAATGAATAAGTTATATAATATTATTACACACAGACTATTATTACTGTTATGCATTATTGATGATATTTAATATTTTTTATTACAGTTCTTCAAGATCAAAGATGTACAATTTCTGTACCACTGATAAACTCAACATACAACTGATCAAATAAACATACATATATACAAATAAACAAATAAATAAGAAACAAAATTTAAAGTTATCTAAAAAACAAATATCCAGTATAACTCTTTATTCAAAACACAATATTTCCAAATGTTCATCTAAAATAACCTCATATAAACTCTTTATTCCACTGTGTGTACATTTTTCTCTTTAAAGCTTAGATCCAAAACACAAACATTTTATTCATAAATGTTACTTATAATCTGTAATGAAAACAACTTTGTAAAATTCACTTGATATTGTTTACTTGAATCTTCCCATTAATGTTTAGGACTGAAATTGATCAGTCTGTTATTGGTATATGTGAATACTGTGCGTATTGCCTTAATTCACAAGCAATATAAGTACAGATGGATAATGGCTAGAAGTGGAATCTAGGACGAGTGTTTCGTCCTATGTAGGACACGTCAGATGGATGTATCTGCACCTCAGAGTTGTTGCTCACTCTGTGACTCGAACCCAGTAACGTTCGCTTTAAACGCCGTCGCGTTATTCACTTAGCTACTGAGTAAAACATACAAGAGTAAACTATGAATAGTAATAAAAAATTTAAAACTCAGTTGTATGGCTTCTGCATACATATTATTATGGTTAGTTCTGATAGGAAATAAAAGAGAATAAATTAAATCCTATAAAATAAGATTATTTGAAATTTCTTTTTGCATTATAAATCATTAATTTAAAAAAGGAGTTTCTTCTCGATTTAAGTGAGTAGTTTATACAAGGTGAATCACAACTGTTGCGACGAGTGTGTTCAACAATACATAAATTGTAACAGTGTACTTGAAGGCTAGTTTCAGAGTGGAGTAGCGTTAATATAACTAATAATCAATAAAATAAGAGGCGTGCAAATAACTATTATTAACTATTACACTGATACTAAAGTTCACAGTTATATAACATACCCTTATATGCTAGAGTAATTTTATATTGGTTTTCAGGATAACCGAACACCACCCAGACTTTCACGTGACAACCCAAACAGTACAGCTTAATCCCGTTTCGCAGGAGAGCCAGACACCTCCCAGGATCAACCCGAGCAGTACAGCTCAAATACAGACACCATATAGGCTACAATCTGAATAGTACAGCTCAATCCTGTGGCACAATCACACGGGTACCCAACACCCTGATGGACCATTCGCATCATTCATATACACCACATATATTATTCCGATCATTGATTGCGTGAATCAATTACGCACAGCACGAACAGGCCAAAGTTGAACTATTCGGCTTACACGACAGTCAAACTAATTAATGTTAGCAATGGCGACATGCCTTAAAATGACCCAATGACAATGGCCCTTGAGAACACTGAAAAGTAACCACCAGAATGAAATCGGCCAATCGGATTTTGCGTATGAACAGTCAGCAAAACTTGCCAAAGTTGTTATATCCTAGCGAAGATTGAATTACGGGTAACTTCCGAGGACTATTAATGGACTAATATTCTATAAATATTCTTATTGTATAATTATTCAATAGTTAGATTATGTATATTTATATTCTTTTTATTATAAACTTTAATTTGACCCATAAACTATCACTATACGACTTATCATTCTTGAGTTATGGCCTGTCTATTAATTACTATCTCCCTCATTCACAGTCACTTTTTGGCTTTATTGTGTACACATGTTATTTTCGATTTTATGGTACGTTGTGGTCTGTCTGGTTGATATATAAATCGAGTATGTTTGAAATAAATGATTCATATTGCAGAAGCTGGTATTGTGTTCTGGACTCAAGTGGAGGGGTTAGGCGGACATAGGACCAATAAGGACGCTAGGCTGCTCATTACCGGTCGAACGTCATTGGTTTGGCACAGTGCTAAGACTGTATAAGTTGTATGTCGATTGGTGGATAAGTCACGTGATAAGAGGCCCGACATAAAATCATAACAAAAGTAATTCAGAACCATTCAGAATATCAATAGCGAACCTCCAGTTTCATTTGAGACCTTCAGCTCTACATAGCAATAATATCTCAAAAGTGACTAATGATGAAATAATCTGCTGTCATTTTTATTTTTAAAAAGGCGAGAATTAATTATTTTGAAGACTACATTTAATAAATATCCACATGATTGTTTCAAGTTTTCTAATGTCGTAATAATGGTAAATAAGTTGTTTATTTTTTGAGAATATCTGATGTCTAGACAGTTTCTTCTTTTTTCCTATAACATACAAATTAAGTTGTTTCATATGGTTAATTAGCTTTTACAAACTCAAGAATTAAGTATAAAGTTAAACTGACACCTAAGATTATTATTGTGGTGTGTGCTACTTATGATCGTCAACATAAGTAGTATGTAACACCAATCAGAAGTGGAATGCTTGGCAGCAGAAAGTCGAGAAAATTTAAATGGAAAAAAAGAAACTGTAAGCAATCAAGATAACAACACGAATGAAGGAACAATAAAACTTGTGAGAGACAATTTAAAGATGTTCAAATAATGTATTCGATGTATGATTTTTACATTTCGCTAAACCACTGTGTGATTGTGCATTAAACAATAAACTGATCTCCCCACCTGAGCCTTAGTTCGCTACATGATGATGAGTAATTCAAAACAATCATCCTAACTATAAAGGCCACAAAAGAGGTTGGTAGTATATTGTGTAGTTTAGTCATCAGTGTTTATAGCCAATAAACTAGAATAATGGGTCACCGAACATAATTGTTAAGAAGGATCCACAAACAGCTATTACAGCAGTTTTTTTTCTCCACTTTATAGAGAACATCTGGGAAGTATCGATCACTTAAATATCACAAATATACGCACATTCTAACAGGATCAAATGCTATTGCTCCATTCACTTGCATTGAGTTTTATAGTTCTCTGTAGTCAGTGTTAACGGTATTACCAAAAAGATCCTTTAACCCTTTAAATAACTACTAAAATTAGAAAACGAAGCTTTTTAACATACTCAACGCAAATTTGCCCAAGTGAAATTAAACTACGTGTTTATAAATTAAAATTGAATCTCGTGGACAGACGGTAAATGAACGCAATCTAGAACACTAACTAGTAATAGTTAATAAAAATAATCCCTATACAGATGAGATATACAGACTCATAGACGATTCAACTATGCAACGTTTGATGCACATATATTCGCACATAGATTTTAGAAAACAAGTTGAAGAAACTCAATATCTAAGTTAGATGAGAACTTGTTAAATAGTTTATTTACGAAATAACTTGATATGGTGTATACACTGACTTGCTCGCTGAAATACTTAAAAGAAAATTTAGTAACTTTCATGTGAACAAAAAAGAATTAAATAGATACTTAAAATTATATTTTATGGTATGCGAAACATATTTATGTATATATACACTAAGTTCAGTAAAAGTCATGTAAATCAGATTATTCATACTGGATTAGATGCTCGACCAAGTCTAGAATGAACTGGAGCGTTAGACTTTCCTTGTCTGTTGCCTAAAACATAAAGAAAATTTAAGTAAAATATTGATGGGAAAAATTGTTCTTGTATAACTTGAAAAAATAGATTATGTACTGATCAAACTGTGTATATACATATACTAAAAATAATGAAATAGTTGTGTGATATTTTTCTCAACAAAACGACTGACATTAGAATGATTTGATAAGTTCATTTTATGGTGTCTGGACCTTCATATAAAACTGAGAATGCAAACAACCATTCCTAGATTAAAATACCCAAATATCAAAATAATGCACATATTTGTAGATCATAAATATGTTTTTACTGACAAACAAAGTATTGTGTATTTTACATATCGACTTTCATAAGGGAATTTCTTAAAAGCTATAAGAAAATGGCATATAGCTTTGTATACTTCAAGTCAGAAGAAATGGAAACTAAACTTGACTACTTATAAGTAGTCACATTGACAATCCTATAAAATATAAAGGAAGGCATTTTTATGGAGTTTTGTTCTCTGAGCTGAATGGTTTGTTCGTGGAGCTTTCATTGTTATTCTAAACGACATAATCGGCACAAAACTCAGGTAGAAGTAAAAATCATCCACCTGAGCTACAAATCTTCTCCACCATTTCATAAAGGAAGGCAGTTTACTGATATGAGGAATTTAACAATAAATTTAATAAACAATTAATTTCCCTTTCTTGGAAGAAACTCTTTGTTGCAATAATGTAATTTTTTCTCATTTACTTCTAAGACGTGGAAACAATTATTTAGAAGTGTAATCGAAACCCCAGTGAAACAAATAATCCATGAGCGAGAAACCAAATGTCAAATTGATGTGCACTAAGCATTCGAACATCAATATCACTGTGAACTTCTAATAATTGCCGTTAACATCCAACGATTCTCTAAAGAGATAGGGATTCACAAGATAAACCAAGAAATTAGGGAGACAAACTTTTGATAATTTAATAAAGTAGTCAGTCCTTTATGACTCAAATTCTACCAACACATCTCAATAAAATCTTTAAAGCAAATCTCCTGAGCCTAGATTGAATTAGGTCCAAATTATATTCGCTCAGAATAATAATGAACTACATATAACATACTTTATGGTCTAAGGAATTTAGTTACATGCAATGCTTATATAGCCAAAAGACAACAATCAACTCCTTGTTTAAAACCTAACAAGCGATATAATCTTTAATCATTCAATAATATTCATGTAGTGAATTATGAAAAGTCTGTCAAAATGATCCTCTTTAATAATACTAAAGTCTGAAATATTTTCTTGAGGGAGCAGTACATTATAAATACAGAACCCAAATTGATCCGAATTCCCAATATATGTAGAAAGAATCATACACTTTACTGGAGTCTGTTTCAACAAAACCACCTTCGTTGTTTTCGTTAACTATTTAGAGTCTGATATAAATCATCGTACCCATAATTATAAAACGTTTATCTCTAAGAGGAAAATGTTTGTCCACTAGCTCGTACCGAAAAGCGAAACGACAAATGAGAAATCGGTATTTAAGAAGCAGAGTATGAATTTTAATGGCAGGAAGTAGGTCAGTGGGGACTTATGGTATTGAAGGATAGAGTGTGGAATCACAAGTGACTGTAAATAGGTTTATGAATAAATCTTAAAACAATTCGCAATAATATATTAACAATGTAGTAGTTTAAGTTGGACTACAAATGACGGATTTCTGTATGGTTTAAATTAAATAAAGTGGATTTAGGTTTTAAAGGACATGACCCAGCAATTCACGTTGATTTTGAGATTGAGAGATAGATAGATAGAAGGACAAACCGTAGCACAGACGTCTGTGGATTTTATTTTTTATCAATAGGGTATGAAATCCATTGACTTCGATCTGAGCAGTCAAATCAATTCAACAGATCTAGTAGGTGGACCAATGAATAATCATAGAACTACACCAAAAACTTAGGTGGGGCTATTACACATTTCATTGCCATAAAATAAAAACTGCTCCACCTATCATGTAAAAATAGAGATTATAGTAACAGACGATCGACAGAATAGAGAAAAACGTCAATTTGTATTCAATAAATTCATATTTTGTACACATTAAAATAAAGTATGGCATAAGAATTAAGCGAAACAAATTTCTTAAATGAATAAATCAATTACCTAAGCGGTTTTTTACAGAAACTTTTTGCATACGACTCTGGCTAAGTACACCTTCGGTGTGTGGAGAAAGAAAGCTATTTAGAGAACTTGTAGACATCGATTCATTGTTAAATTGAGGAGGTTGCATTCGTGACTTCTTCAAAATTCCTTGGTAAGAGAGTTGATCATTTGGTTGTATAGTAGTTGATGGAGCACTTAAACGACTAAACACCGTATCAGAAGCCTGTGTACACAATGATAATTAAATAAATAACAATAAAAATAAATGAGATATGAAAAAAAACGGCATTTAAGTTAAAAATTAAAATACAATGACTAGAGTATGATTTCTAACTGTCTTTATATGCGTTCGAATGAACTAATATTGCCTCGGATGAGGAGACTGAAGTATTCCTAACAGAAAGCTTTCACGTCTGTGAGTTGACAACTGCATCTAAAAATATATTACCTAATACCTTCATGTAATTTACAATGGTTTTCTGACATAATCGTACACAAGCCTGGTGCAAACTGGTAATGAATATCATCTTCTAAAAGAATAAATAGTGGTTTAGTAGTTGAAAAAACATGTCATTCAAACACAAAGCCAAACATTGAAACTCCACCTTATTAACTCCAGTTTGACAAACGTGTATTATTATTACCCTTCACTTAAAGCATGTCAAAAACTCAAGAGGTTAAAATGGGTTTTTTTTATTAAATGTACTGACTTGAGATCAGTAGTTAATTGATGATTAAAACAAAATCATTTATTACAGAGAGAGAACCATCAATCATCAATTACCATCTCCTGTTAATGAGACAAGGATATGGATTTTTGCACACTGGTGAGACACAGATAATGAATACTTACATGTCGTTTAAGGGGTGTTCTTAATTTAACAGACTGATCAAGGCTTTTTGTAAGACCGCTAACTTGTTTAATAACTTTAAAATTCAAAGAATCCTCTGGTGAGTTTATAATAGTTTCTGCAACAGATGGTGAAGGACGAAAAGGTGATCCAAGACTATTGTCATTTAAATTCCAACGAATAAAGCGTTGCATTGCAGCAGATGGATCTGTCGTTTTTTTTATAAGTACACTTGTAGGTGAATCCTCTCTATTTACAGTATTACCTAAACGACTGAATACTGAATCACTAGATGTGGAACCATGTGCATTTGATCTAATATTTAAAGTGAAAGTAAACAAAATACAATTGTTTAAGAACAATGTTACCAATATAAATAACAGAAAAACAAAATTGACAATTGAAAAGCTACGATAAAGCATGTACCTCACGTACGAAATACTGAATGGAACAGAAAATAAATACTCCAATTGAAATAGTCTTATGTATCGCTTAGCATATTTGACAGCGTAGGATAATAAGTATAAGGCTCTCAAATTCCCTGGTACAGGAGGTGGGAAGAGTCCACCCACCCTCCGAAATGCTCTGATATGACTATGCGTATACAGCCACTACCAGGGAACTCCTACTTAGTGTCTCGCTTACGAACTCGAGAGGACGAAAAGTGGTTGTTCAGCGACTTAACCGAGTTGGTAAGAATGAAGGATCCACCTAGCAGAGTTTGGAAACCGAAACCAATGTAACACATGGTCTCAATAATCTTGAGGGAATAAATGGCGTATGAATCTACTGTTGATCACCGGCTACCATGAGACTACATCTCCTGACGCTACTTCACTGCTTTGTGGATTAGACCTTTAGGTCAAAGGCTGGAGGAATGGCATGAGAGTGACGTGGAATCACAAAGGTAAGTTAAAAATATGAAGTAAAATGGTATTATTCATCAAAACAATCAATTTCAACTCCTTAAGTTTGATTACATCATTGTCGTTTTTCTTCAACTGATAGCTGACTGATTTCAATTCAGATATTTCTTTACTACCATTAATCTGTTTTTAGTTGTTTCGTTCTATGATCATCTAATGTTTGTTAACTCCACGAGTTCTAATCACTAATTCAATGTTCAGGAAATTTCCTCCCCAAGCTTTATCCGAAACAAAATTCTTATGACCATATTAACTCTATTGAAATCTCCGCTACATCATGATACATATATTCATCTTTAATTAACGTCGTAGGTATAAACATGCAAATATCTGTAATAACGTTGATTTTAAAATATTATAAGTTGTACACGGCTGATGAGAACTTGACGAAATAAAGTGAATTCATATATTATTCTGCATCAATCTTCGTTCTTGCTCTCTTCAAGAAAATAAAGGGAACTATGTGTATGAAATTTCTAAAAATAACACACTGTACAACGTAACACCAACTAACAGCGTTGGTGCCTCAATAAAATCCCGACAATGATAACACATTTTTGTCTAGACTATTTTTAAAATCCCGATTACAACTTCAACGTAAAGTATATAAACGATAGAAAAGTAAATTAGAGTTAACTACTTAGAGATGATAACACGATAATTATCACAATCATCGACATCGCTGTCTTCGAAGGTAGACGATACAGGAGGTTCATTAGTTTTGGCGGATTTGGCAACTTCAGATTGACTAGACTTTGCACTATCTAAAATAATGTACAAAAAATTCAAATAAAAACAATAAAATACTATGTAACATATACAGATATTACTCGATATAAAGTCGTCACAATAAATATCCATTTAAGAAGGTAGCATGAAAGCGTACAAACTATTATACAAGTCGAACTAGATACTACAAGCCATGAAAGTAAACTAATCTATCTATACGCAGAACTGACGAGTACAGGTTTATGTATCCAGATGTACAAACCAAAGTAGACGAAGTGGCATTTGAACCATCAAACCAATGACTCGGTGGGGTTCCTTAACTATTAATTCATTTCCCTAATACAAAAATTATTGGGATATTCAGGAAAATATCCCAAAAATTATCCTATTAAGTTTAATGCTATTCTTGGACTTGGACATGGTATAATTTTCTTATTGGTCAGTACTTATTTCACGTGTTATTTTCCTACTGGTCAATATTGTACAATGTTATTTTCTATTTTATGGTACGTTGTGGTCTGATTGACTGGTATATAAACAAAGTATGTTTGAAATATAATGATTCATATATCCGAGGCTGTGACTTGCGTTCTGAACTCAACTGCTGGGCTAGACAAGGGAGCGGGGCCAATCAGAACCCTAGGTCGTTCTACGTGTTTGCGCGTCTTTGGTCCGATCGATAATTCGCTACCCTCAAATCTGCTGCCGTTCAGTTATAACAAAAATGTTAAAGAAATCCATCTGTAAGAATACAAAACTTTTCAGTGTCTAATAGAAATCTCCTGATAATTTCAACAAACTGATAAGTACCATGAACTACAATAACTATGTTCAATGAATTTCTACACTTCTAACATGGTAACTTAGATAGCATGAGATGTAACCAGTCTATAATTATGAGTACATTTTCACTACTTACTTACACCTGTTATGCCTCATGGAGGAGCATAGGACGCCCACCAGCATTTTCCATCCAACCCTGTCCTGGTCAATCCTTTCCAGTTGTTATTCATCCTTCTCGTGTCTACTTCCAACTCTCGACGCAGTGTGTTCTTCGACCTTCATCTTTTCCATTTCCCTTCATGATTTCAGGTAAGCGCTTGCCTCTTGATTCAGTTTGATGATTTCCGAAATGTGTGTCCTATCCACATCCAGAATCCTTTGCTGATTTCCTTTTCATCTGAGAGTTGGTTTGTTCTCTCCCATATTAGGCTGTTGCTGATGGCATCCAGTCAACGAACATTAAGTACCTTACGCAGACAATCGTTTATGAATCCCCGTACTTTTTTAATTGTGTTTGTAGTTCTCCAAGTTTCATTTCCGTACAGTAGGACTACCTTAACGTTCGTATCGAAGATTCTGACTTTGATGTTGGTTCACAGTTCTTCAATTGTACGAATGTGGCCCTTACTTTTTCTATCCTCGCCTTCACGTCTGCATCGGATCCTCCTTGCTTATCAATGATGCTGGCCAGATACGTAAAATTTTACACCTGCTCCAGAGCTTCTAAATCAAATGTGATTTGGTTGGTGTTCTTCGTGTTGTATTTGAGGACCTTGCATTTTCCCTTGTGTATGTTAAAACTCACTGATTGGACGCGGCTGCTATACTGGCCATCCTCATCCACTTTTGTCGCTGTGTATGGAATAGAAGAGCCAGGTCATCTGAGAAGTCTAAGTCGTCTAGTTGCTTGCAAGATGTCCATTGTATTCCGTGCTCCCCTTGATATGTGGTGATATTCATAATCCAGTCAACCACCAGAAGAAAAAGTGCGACAGTAGACAGTTTTGTTTGACACCGGTCTTCATTTCGAAAGCATCTGTCAGCTGGTGTGCATGAACGACTTCGCAGTGTAGTCCGTAGTATCAATTCCGGATCATATCGAAGATGTTCTCAAGTACACCATGGTGTCGAAAAAGATGGTATAAAGTCTTCTTGTCTACACTGTCGAACGCTTTCTCATCGTCAAGGAAGTTGATATAAAGTGACGAGTTCCATTCAATTGGTTGTTCAACGATGATCCGTAGAGTCGCGATTTGGTTTATGCATGACCGATTCTTAAGAAATCTGGCCTGTTGATCTCGAAGCTGGAAGTCTACTGAATCTTTCATCCGGTTCAGCAACACAATTGAAAATTTTTCCTGGTAGTGTGATTCATCTATAGTTCTCACATTTGCAAAAATCTCCTTTCTTTGGTATCTTAATGAGGTGATACTTTCATTAGGATATAACTTAATTTTATTCTGTCATCTTGTGTATTGATTTGACTTGGAAAACAAGTAAGGTACCAGTAGATAAGTCAAATCATCTCATTATATATATATATATATATAAATAGATAAACATACTCTTTTGCTTCATGGATGCAAGAATTTTCTGCGTCTTTAAAGTCGTCCCCTTGGGCATTTTAACAATATATTTTCCTTCAACCTCAGGATTCATTCGACGACGCACTGGGACTAAAACACCGACATCTAAATCTAAAACTAAGTTAACATATAATTAAATACTTTTGGACGCAGCTTTCTTATTTTCAGATGAGCAATCTTTCGACGTTGTTGAAGTGACAACAGGAGTTGGTGCAACTGATAACTTAAACAAAATAACTTCGAGGAAAATAGACAACTTGCCTCGTGTCTTATTTTTTTGCATTGCTTCAGTATGGAAATAATATCTCCAATAACTGTGATCCCCATATCTTTTAAGTGATCCTTATCTAAATCAGCAAGGACTGAATTGTTAATTCGATGTTCAACAAAAATTCCAGCATATGTTTCCCTTAGTTTGGCTGGAACACCAGCAGCCTCAAAAAATTCAACCCATTCGCATAGGTCTAAAGAATTGATAAATACCGTAAAAATAATTTAGTGTAAATATACCCCTAAACAATATGAAATTTAGAGACAATAGCCTTTGATTGGAAAACTTTTTAGCCAGATCACTAGTTTATGTATGGTTGATGTGAATAGTGACTAGATAATTTGGTAAGCTAAACAAAAACAACTTACAGGAAATTTTGTCTAAACTAAACAATTAGTGCCACCTAGTATTTCACTTGTGAGCTCCATACATATCATTTTATGCATAAAATTACTATTAAAATAATTATGAGAGAATAAAACGACTAGAAGGAACGTAATTTTTTGAATGTTAGGAGTTTGAAAAGAATTACTAAGATGTCTTAAACCTAAGCTTTACGTGGCTTGACACCCACTAACAAAAATTTAATGCAGCTTTGAAATGAACTGACACAGTAAGTCGAGCCCTGACCATTTAGTCCTACAGATACCTTTACTAGAATCAGCCAGCCACAATGTGGGACCTGTTCGCATGCATATAGGTTCAAATTGCCATACCCCATTAAAACAAAGAGATGAAGTTGCCAAGCCAAACCTCAGAATAGTAGGGGTGGTAACAGTATTAGTGGTAAAAAGAAAGATTAAAAATAGTGGATACAACTTAAGAAAACATAATTTAATGGAATTATGAAAACGTTATGAGCAATTTAGAAGCTTAGAAACCCGGGAAAGACAGAGAATGGATGCAACTGCGTTGTTGTAAACGATTTTGAGCCGTCATTCAAAGACCCTAACAACTGGTTATGATAATCACCCGAACCCCAATTAGGTAGTCTATACCTATTAACGTGGCTAAGTCTTATTGTCAGTGACTGAACGGACTAATGACATGTTTTGGTTTCGTAGCCCCTACTTTATTTCCAGCCTACTCCTGCACCAGGAAACATCACCCATAGAGGTGGGCGGTAGTTGTGCATAAGTAACATGTTCTAAACACCTGAGCTGATGAAGATATACTACCACATCAATCAATTTCCTATCTTTACCAAATACTGTATTCCTAAAATAGGCATCGCTTTCTCTGTGGTCCCAAAATACATAAGCAGTGATTTGTTAATATCTATGGTCGAATACCAGTAACCTACGGACATCCTACATTCTTAATGGCCATATTTCATATCCATAAAGTAGAACTGGAGTAACCAATCATTACGACTGTTTGCTATAAGTTCTGTTTTGACCAGTAGTGTTCGAGTAAACATGTGCAAGGTTAATGTACTTCTTTCGTGCGCCTTGCAATAACAGACACTGCCACAAAACCTGGCGATCAACGAAATTGAACGCCGCCTCAAGATCAAGCAATACAACTACAGTCAGACGTCCAAAAGAATGTCTATGTTCCAGAATCTGCAGAAAGGTGGATATTCGGCCTATATATATACGTCCAGGTCTGAAACCAGCCTGACTTTCCCGGGTTCTCTCTTTACGAGCTCTAGCTAGACGTTGAAATATTATTGAGACTAATATTATAGACACTATATTAGTTAAACCAGCTCCTCCGTGATTGTCACAAAAGGATTTTCGTTCCTTCATATGAAATGGGACGACCAGCGATCGAGACCAGTCTGATGGGATTAAGTCCAGGTTCCAGTAGTTCATCAGGCCCTGCTGCTCTCCCTTGCTTTAGATCGCTTATAGACTTTGCAATCTCAATAAGAGTTAAAGAACCTAAATCAGTGTGCCATTCAGTCCTGATAGCCACTCACTTGTGCAACCGCTGACTAAATTCTTCTTTGGTTGTTCCTGAAATATATCTCCAATTTTTTTCATTATTAGGTTGGATTCGAAGGGATTTACTTTCTTTGGCTTTTCTACGTCCAGTAAGACGAAGACAAATACGTGTTTGAACTATAGCATGATCTGAGTTCAAACATGTGATTCAGAATGAGCGCAGCCTTCTTTCGAGTCCCTCCAACGATGGCTAATGGGAATGGGATCTATTTGAATCCATTGATCAGTTGATGGTGGTCACCACGTCAGACGATGTTTCTCCTTGTGTTCAAAGTTGGCGTTTGCTAGAAATAGACGGTTATCTAAGCCTAGATTCAGCAGACTGTCGCCATGGTCTTTTCGCTGGGCAACGACAACGTACGATCCGCCTAAGTGCATTTCGGTTTAGTTTAGTTTACCTACTTGGGCATTAAAATCACCTGCTACTACTACTACCACATCAACGCAGTGAGCTTCTCGAAGGAAGTTGGATAGCTTCTTATAAAATTTATCTTTAACTTAATTGCAAACAGTGGAAATGTCGACAGAGACAACAAAATGGAAACCGAGTGTGCTCCTATTTTTTCGAGTTCTTACTATTCCGTTTAGTCGAACAGCGCAAAAGCGACTATCTATTAAAATCCAGTCTAGCAGAACCCGTTCTGCTTGAAAACGATGGAGTAGTAGCTAAAGCGTTAAACTGTTAACTGACGATTTGAAAATTCAAAACATGCTTCCCCTATAATGATTTCACTAAGCACAATTATCGATTATCACACTGGCAGTGCAGATACACAAAATATAGCACGCTGATAACTTGAGAAGCAGGAATGACGTTACTTAAAGACTAATTCATCAATCTAGATTGCTTGATTGAAATACAGAACAAGCATTTCGTCACACCACGAAAAATGAAAAAAAAAACATTTTTCGCCCCGTGATTACTTCCAGGAAGTCTACCAGAACGAGGAACTATCTGTTGAATACAATTTTGACAACTAGTCATCTGTCATTCATCGTTGTGTTGCGCAATAAAGATCACCTTTAAAAACTAATTGTAAGATTCTGTGGTATAAACGAAAGACAGAAAGTATATGACTAAAACTTATGCAGAACGGTTTTTCTGATACTTCGTAAATGACCAAAAGGAATGATGGAACCTCATCAAACAGATATTCAGATACTGAGAAATAACCTGATTCAGACTGCTTTTAAAATTAATAAGATAAGAATGGCACTTTTGACAACCTTCGTATCGCATGATACGCCAATGAATGACTCATGCACTAGCCTTTCAAAAGTGGAATAGCTTTGGAGATATGTCAACAGTTATTATCTACCGCTTGCCGATAGCTTAGAGTGACGTAGCATATATTGATAAATTAGTTACGTGGACCAGGAAAATGCTCAAAACGCCGAAGCATCTAGGAATTAGCAGGAGCTTACTGACATGGGAGCTTCAAGTAAACGCTAGACAAACTCCAAATATTCTTAAACTGGGAACACGCAATAAACTGAAGAATTAGATTGTGCTTACCTTAAATCATAGTACATTGAGATCCAGAAGACAAAAAGATTTGATGTTACAGAGGCATTCCATATCTTTAAACTACATAGATAAGGATGCTTAGGTTACTCATCCAGCTTACTTGATATTCAAAAGGGAGTAATGCAATCATTAACCAAACCTATATACCGAGAGAAATTAAGAGTATGCCTCGTAAATCGGCGAACGACAATGAGAAGAGATACCGATATTGGATTGTGATACTAAGATCACCCAAAGCACGAAATCGATTTATTCCTATCATACATTAGTATTTATTACTAGTGTTAAAAAAGGAACGGGATCTTTTAACCCCTAGGTTTATGCATTATTCGGAATATCTAATGTTCTGTGAGGATGGTCGTTTGTAGATCTCTCCTAATTAAAGGATCATCAACATATTGAGAGCGGTAAAATTTACAACGCATATGTTATGCGATTTGACCATCAGTTTTACCCCCCCCCCGTTAACTACAGCGAATTCAGAGTACTAACAGAGAAAAACAGAAATACATCCCAATAAAGCATACTTTACTGGTACTTTTTCTAAAAATTATCGGTAAAGTGACTCGAGTCATTTAGAAAAGTACATAAATATCTTCTGTGCACACTTGAGTACTCAACTAGGAAAAAATCCATCATACCACGTCAACGTAAGTTCAGAAGTTTATCGCTTTATTGTAAAGAAAACTCAAGAGCAGAAAAATATTGTTGAGCAAAAAAATTAAACTGGTGGGAACGTTGAAACTGCTTTAAACTTCACAACGAAAGTCTGTATCATCACACCAATACCATCACATTGAAGACCATGATGAGCACTAGGTGATACAGTATAATCAGGTTCTAGACACAAAAGCAATCACAATCAACCCAATTAAACACCCCAAAAAAAACCACCACATTATGTAGCGCTCACCTTTCATTTTGGGCGGTTAATTAAAACAAAACATCCAGGGTGTTATAAGAGAAAAAGCAGAGTCACCTAAGAATTCAAGTTATTAAACATTTCGAGAGTGAAGAAAGTTTGGGTTTCTCATAAACGGGCGGGAAGTTCAGATCTCCGGACTTGGAGTGCCTGTGAGTTACTGCGTGATCGCTGTGAATAATGTCAAGTAGTAATGTTTCAATTTATGCTTGTGTAGTCTCGACTTTTTTAAATATGTTATGTCGTCTTTCTCCAGCTGTTGTTAAACAGAAAGTTGTGATGACGACGAAGCAATCTGCACTTATGTTAAATTACAATATCGACCAGTTAAGATCTGTTAGTGATGAAGCTCCTACGAATTTCAACTATTTCCAGTAAGAAAATCTTTGAAATTAAGCCAGTTTCGGCTTCATCATATAGTAAAGGCAATGAGGTTAACATATCTTTTGCCCAAGTTCATCGTTTATTGTGTAACCATACTCTTAGTGACCTGAAAGCCTCTTAAAAATAATGGAATCTAAACAAATACTATTGAGAATTCGCATGCTATCTGGGTCATTTTGACTATGGAGAATCACACTGCAGTCCCAAAGACAAACTCTTATTAATGTATCTAATCTTTTCCAACTGACAACGGACTGTATTCCACTTATTTCCAGATCTTGATCACCTCGCTATTGTATATCAGCCACTGTTCGTTCATATTTTCTAAGTACTTATATCACCTTATTTAAATTGATTTTCACTTATTTTGTGCTAACCTAAACCACTAGTCGTCTTATATTTGTTGTTCACTGTCTGTTTCTGCAAATATTCCCGTCTAGCTCTCCACAACAGCTAAAACTTCACTGGTCGTTCCATATATCTTCAGGGATATTTCGCCCCTAAAGTTCATAAACCCTCGAATATTTGCACAAGTTATATCGTCAGTAGTTATTTAAGACATTATAAATGTTAATAATAGTTTCTCCTTTTAGTACCAGTACAATGAGCAGAAAACCAAAACAAGATCACGATGAGAATACTAACTCCAACTGTGGTAGAGTCGTTGAGTACAATCACGTTGTGTTCAAGATTGTGTCGTTACATCGACAACTTGAATTAACCCACACATGTTCCAAATCGTACATTGATTATGACTGACTGCTAAACAGTACAATGATTTATGTACACGTACTTCGTGTCCCAACTTGACCATCTCGTCAACTCCTATGATTTAATGAACTAACTTGTTACTATTCTCATAAGATATCGTTGAGTCCCCTGTCTTTATTTAATGCTTATCTTTCTAAATGGTCGTTTGATCAAACTAAATTAAGACAGTAGATTTCTCCAATGTTTGTACTCGTTTTTATGCACTCTTTTTGTATCTTTCCTGTAAGTTAGCAATATTTAGCCTAGTCCTTTACCCTCATCAAGTCAATACGCACAGAAATACTATGCAAGGTGCTCTTGGGTTTGACGCATAGCTCCCAAAGCATTCGTTTTAAAGCGTTTTATATTAACATAAACTTTCCGTTTATTTACTTTGGTCTTGTCAGAGTGCTTTTATGCAGCCAAATTCTACAGAAGCAATATATTCGACGAATTCGAACAAATAGATAAACAATGAACAGACTTGGTAAAGTTTACTCAAAACGAAACATCTTTAGTGTTGTTAGCTAAAAACTCAGATACTTTAAGCTTTTTGACCGATTGAACAAAATGCTTTTCAGAGACTAAATAAAATATTCGTTGTACGATTGCCATTATGTATGCATACTTTAGAACCCAAAACAGTAACGATCTAGTTTATGTTCCTTTCCTATCTGCAATAGACAAGATACCAGACTACAACTAACTAGTGATTTTCGAAGAGATGAGTCAACAGTTTTAGCAATTGGCGGTTGTCTATTTCATCTCGTTTTAACACGCCGTTCCCCCTACTTCTGTTCAGACATCCCCATAGTATCGCTTTTCTTTACAATAAGTTTGTGCCATGAACAATAACTTGGCTACCGGAATTTGTAAATTGTCGTTACAAAATACTTCCAATTTCCCCAAACTATTGTAATCAATCTAATATTCTATACAGTCATACTGTACATTTTTCGAAAAGCTTCTAGAGTACCACTACCACACCAACTTCTGTATTCATTTTATTACTTTTCTATGCCCCACAGGATGTATTTACTAGTTACCCAATTTTCTGTGAAGGATTAATTATCGAATTTCGACTATAAATTCATGGAAGGTGGTCAGCCGGTCGCTGAAGTTCGTTCATATTCACCTAATAAATGTGGCGAAGTGGTTAACGGCAGTATGCACTCAAGTTCAACGTCGGACTCAGACTACGAATACCGCAAGAGGAATAGCTATTGTCTTAGTTGTCAAAGACGACCTAAAGCATCATTGAAATTTATATTAACTATATGGTACTCTCCAGAGACTAGTTCGGCTATAGCTGGTAAGTCCTTTTCGTGATGAAGTGTACTGGTTTATTTATAACATGAATTTTAGTACAATTAAGCACTCAAAAGTGTGTCATACAAAATCCAATAATAACATCAGGAAAAAATTAGCTTGTAGGTCACTCATTATCCATTCAATTAAGGCCTGATTAATAGACTTGGTTCTTCGGCACCTTATTCCTACTGGAAGTTTACAGTCTTTCAGTCAAACACACTCGTAAGTACGACTTGGAGAGAATACGTCTCATCGGTGCATTGTTTACCCATATTTTACCAAAGATACCACCATAAGTTTGCTCTGATTTTTCATTACGAATAGTTTAATTACACCATTCCCACTACTGCCAGCAATTACACAACTATCCAAATATGCAAACTTCCTGACTGCTTCCAGTGACTATTGTAACAACCTCTGACAATGGAAGTACACTGCAACTAAGTTCATATATTATTATTCTAGCTATTGTCTTTTCATGACTTCTGAATTCTGGTTTTTCCCAACGTTACTGACATAATCATTTTGAGGGTGGGAAATTTTTGACTAGCTTTTGTCAGCATCCCTACATATTTTTCCTAGCAATAAACCCGTCATTTTATGAGGCTTTGCTAATATTGGTAGTCATAACCTACAATGAAAGCTTCCAATATTCTAAATACTTTTTCCATTGAGACGCACGTTTCTTCTCGAGACATGACGTTAATAGTCGCGAACTATATGTAACTCGTTGCTTACTTCATATAAAGTTTCCTTCAGAGCTTACCTACAGAGTGAAAAAAACGCATTAAAACAACCAACCGTTCTTTCAACCAGATTACTATTTTACATTTTTGTGAGGTTTTGTTTCTTAATTTGAGATAAAGGAATTGAGAAATTTAAATCTAGTTAACAATAATTTACTGTTTCTCGTAAATTACCAATAGGGATTTACAATCGATCTACACTAAAAAGGACCTGACATACAGGACATTGATCATCACGCAGTGATTTAAATACATCTCAGTCCTACAGGAGGTCAGTCGCGGCCCGGACAGTTCAGTGGTAACGTCTCTGACTGTGAAGCTGAGTGACACGGGATCGAATCCGTCAGGGGGTGTCAGTTCCCTCAAGAATAATACAGGTATATCTTGCTGACGAGTACCAAGTAGCACGAAACCCGGGTCCAGGGTTTCATGCTGACTACCTCCAACCACCATCTTATCAATCGGGATTCTTAAACGCCTTTATTCGAGGATACATTTTAATGCTACAAACAAGAATTTCACTTTGTTCAGTGAAAATGTCAATCGATTGAATGAATAAATTTATTCATATAGTCCAGTAGTCATGATACCTATTTTCTCAAATACTAACTTCAATAATTGTAAGGCATGTTTTTCCATTTCCCCAATTCTATAAAATGTATAGTTCATCAAATTAAATCTTTCAGACTTAATCTATTCAGGACAAACTGTAATAATCTAGTTAGGATAAAATGATCTACATAATATTTACACTGTTAAGGTTAGTTAATCGTTTAGTGAAATTGGAGAATTTATTCATTATTCTCTGGTTTTCGTTATTAGATATGCAGTTGGTCTTTGGCAACCCAAAATCTTTTCTTATTATAGCTCATTGTAGCTTTCATTTATGCTTAATATACAACCCACTTATTTTAATTCGTTACCTAATTTTATCTTTTTACGCTGCCAATTTTTCGGTAAATATAAGATCTTCACTGCTTTAACTCTGTTTCGAACACATTGTAAAAGAACTAGTTAGTTAACACTTGATATATTTTGTTTTAATTATATCCACTTGGTTTCAAATGAGTTTTTCGATTTTCAGAAGCAATGTCATCTACCTATACGGAGGTACAATTACAAGAAATAGTCTCCAGTTCAACCAAAGATATTTTACAGTTAGCTGAGAAACATTTTGCTGATCTCAGAATATAATAATATCCCGGGTCAGTTATTTTATTCTTCTTTTTCCTTCTTCACATTTCTTCTTTCTCTTTCGTTTTCTTCATTCTCTTCTTTCATATGAGATTTTTTAAATCACTTCCAATCAGTTCATTATAAAACTGTATATTTTGTTAATTATACACTTTGTGTGCTTCTGTGAAGAATAAATTTATATAGAAGTGGTGTTTGTTTAATGTGTACATAGACTCTTTCCATCAATATTAATAATTGAGATAATAATAATTCGAACTGCTTCTCCTATTCTTATATTATCAACACACGTACAATATGTGTAGCAATAAAAGAAATGAACAGTGTTATGTATTGTTATTTACCCATTTGTTGGGATTATAATGACAATGATAAATATACATCTTTGGGTAATTATGCATTGATCAAACTTGTTGTATTTTATTCTCAATTTTTTTCTATAATTGGACATGACATTCTATTAAATTTAGGATAAATACGAAATTCCAAATATAATGAAACCTATTAGTTTTGTTCATCATGTTATGTAACGACATAGCAAACTGATACTGTTAGGTATTCGGTCTAATCAGTTAAAAATATGCATCTTTTCAGACAGAAACCCATTAATGAATTTAATGTCATAAAA